TGGAGATCCTACCCTGGATCTTTATAAAGTGATCATAATCCGTGTAAGACGCGCATGCGGAGGGTGCATCCTTAGTAGAAAGATTCGAGGAGCTTGAACTTAACTTCTTCCAAGAATTGCAGGGGGTACCCGCTCAACTTGTCGAGGGCTTGCTTTGCTTGACTTCTGAAGGCCAGCTGCGGGCACCACCCATCACAAAGTTCAGCTTTCCGGAGCAAGTCACTGCCGCGTTCAAGCTTCTCCAGCAGGCGCAGCATGTTGGTGCCTTTGATGCAGTATTTGATTCCAGCATCAACAAAAATCTTCCGTCTTGGACGTCATGGTTTGGGGTTCCAGCACATATGCCGAGGCAAGATCGTGCTGACCTTGTGCCCAACGGCTGCGTGCTGATGGACAGAGTCGAGGAGTCTTCCGAGAGCGCCTTCTCAAGGATCCTGGACCCCGCGGTGAGCTCCCTGAAAGAGGTGAAAGGCAAAGAAGCCGCAGCCCCAAAATCACGCCTTCTGTCGGTGAACTTGGCGGAAGCCAAAGCTGCTGAAGCAGTTCCCCAACCTTCCAAGCCTACCTTCGACGCTGGTACGTTTGTGATTGTGAAGGCAATCTGCTGCTTCAGAATGATAAGTGTTGGTTTAGTGCCAAGGTCATAGATTGAGATTGGCTAAAGGCTTTAACTTTCAGGCAAATAAGTACCTGACACCTTGAGCCCCCAAAGCAGTCAAAAAGAATGCCTTCTGAACATAAGTTGAGGCTGCGTTTAGCCCTTGGACGCTTGCAGCACAGTAGCGTGCAAAGTTCCAGCTGGAGCCCGCGGCGCTTCCGCCGCAAGGCGAGGAAGGCCAAGGCACGAGGAAGAGCGCCCGACATGGCCACAGCGTTGCTGTCGGCGCAATGCTCTCATGAGGCCCCAGGGATGGAGAATCAAATGGACATGTGAACATGGAAAATGAGATGGAAACTGGGGGTATATCGGAGGGCAACTAGTGGAAGAGGTTGATGTAGGTGTGAAGGTGCAGGCGTGCCCTTGCAGGAGACGGGTGTGAGGTTAAGTTCCCGTCGCTACTTGCGGTGCAGCTGCTGAACCTGATCAGGGAAACATGTGCGCAGATGCCGGAAAGTTTCAGCCAGCAAAACCCTCCTTGCCCCAAGCTCTAAGAGCCCTCCTATCATTCACATCTTTCATTTTTAAGGCTTAGCCTCCACCTCTCATCATGCTTCGTTTAGTGGTCCGGCCTTGCAGCCTGCACAGCCCTCCGGCCAACATTCCTTTTCCGGGTGTCCTGTACCATTTGTACCAGTTCCACCTTTACAAGTGCCAACTGAGGCGCCTCCCAAGCTACTTGCCCCGCACAGCAGGCTGAAACATGTGAAGGACAAGGTTGAATGTTTGCAAATCCCGACCTTTACAGAGCTCTTCTTGTACGATCTGGTGGAGCCGGTCGAGATCAGACCAGACTTCACCTTGTCACTGCGCTGGCGGCGAACTCATGTGGAGCTACGTGTCCCAACCGCCCCAGAAGGGTTCTGGATGCCGTCTCTGCCACGCTTCTAATTTTCACAGGGCCCCTCAAGTTGAACTGAGGACCGCTGCCCTGGTTTCATTGCGGGACTGGGAGATGCATTTGAGGGTTTTGCCTGCTTCGCAAAGGAGCTTTGCAAGGAGCCTCCTAGGGTCCTAGAAAGCCAGGATGCCATTCCGGGCATACCTGTGGATGGACGGACCCTTCGAAAACATTTCCTCGCTTTGCCTAAAGAATTTTGGAGCACGCAATGCGTGCCTCCGCGCCCTGAGCAGCAAAAGAAGCAAACTTTGCATGTCCGCCTCCTCCCAGATCGGCACCTTCTGATGTTTTTGCTTCGAAGCACTTCGCCCCCTTTAGCAGCCAGGGATGCTTGGCCGGACATCACACAGCCCAGCTTTGTTTTCCAATTCCTGGGAGCGAAGGCTGAGAAGTGGGCCTCAGGCATGAGAAGCGCGCCCTAGCTCCGCTGCTTAAGACCTAAGCCATATGCGACAGACTTTCCCACGGCGCTCCGTTAGGGCTGCATCGATGTGGTCTGTGCTGAGCATTCAGCTGCAAACACGCGGCGGTCTTGGAGACTGCGTTGCCAGGCGGCTTTGAAGGCATTGACAGCCGACAACGACATCGTAAGATGCTCAGGCTGTGCCCACAATGTACTGCTACAGCATGTGCAACATGCGCAGCAGCCGTCTGCATCTTGGGTACATCGGGGCAAGATGCAAAGGTGTGTGCGTTGCCTGCGTTGCTTGCGTTGCCCTGGCCGCCTTCGACTCTGATTCGACTTGAAAGTTGGGAAACTGTTCACGTTGCTCGTTGTCTGGCGACAGCATGCTGGTGAAAGGGCTTTTGCACACTTCGTGAGCGCCACTCCGGCGCCCCGGTGCAGCCGCAGCCCGCGCTGCGTCGGAGCTCCTTGCGAAGCAAAAGCAATACTTCAAGTACTGAAAGAGCCCACGGCTCAAGGGGCTGTGGCTGGCATCGCTGGCTGCATGCTGGTTCGGGCGGGTCTGGGTAAGGTCCTGGTATCCCACGCAGGAGAGGCTCTCCGTGCAGAAGCCTCGAGAGATACACAGCCACAGCAATTGAGGCCATCCCGCACGGGCTTTGTGACTGTCCCCAGTTCAAGAACTCGAGCTCGAGAGAGTCATGGCCAGAGCTTCCAGACATGACGGTCGAACCGACCCGGAGATAAGGGCAGCTTGGCTAAGCTTTGAGCGTCTTGATTTAAGTAGGCTGCAGCATGGTGTTGAGCCAAACTGCAGGCAGGCGCCATGGTGAGGAGCTCGTGAAAGATGTGGGAAGAGTTCCAGTGACTTGACAGAAAGTGCCGCAGCCAGGACCTTGGCGATCGGCCTCAACTTCTTCGACGTCATCCAGGCCATCTTCCGTCCTGCAATTCTCTTTGTTCTGCTGTGCTTCTTGGTAGGCTCTGGGAGCCATGCCAAGCTTCGTGGCAGGGAGGCAGTGCGTACGAGTGGAACAGATTTTAAGAAGACAGGCCCATCTAAGGCCTTGCCTGCTGCAGGCGAGCTTTGCAGACCGACCTCTTGGGCAGTGACTTCGCCGGGACCTCACTCTGCCATGCTGTGCTATGATGTGCTAGATGCTGTACTGCAACGGCCACCATGACTGCATGCGGGCTCCGAAGCTTCAGGTAGGTCCAGGTAGGTGCGGTGTGAATGGGGCATGCCGTATGCCGGAGAGGTTGCACAGCCATCAGATAGGAGGGGAGACGGAAGCTCCCCTTCTGGATTACTCTTTGGGGGCCATCGCCCATGTTGTGGTTTGGGGTGGGCTGCAGCTCGGGGCATTGAGCCCTTTGCTGACGTTTTTGCTTTGGAGGTTTCTGGGCTTCAAAGCAGCAGCGAGCTTCTTGGCGCTGGCGATCTTCACAGTGCTTTGCCCGTTTTCTCACTCCAAACACTTCTGCCGCTTCTACCTGAAAGCTGCCCGCACGGTGAACGGAGCCACCGCCTGGGTTCCTGATGATATCATGCGGCTCCTGCAAGGGAAAGGCTACCTGATCCCTGGCTTTACTTCAAGCTTCTCTGATCCTTGCGGTATTTTTTTTTTATGTGGAAGCTGTTTCTTCCTTGAGTTTGTCATTCACTGAGGGTATGCTTCCATCCGCACGGTGTGCTGCCCTTGGGATTTAGCTTCAACGCGACGCGCTGCCGCAACAGCAAGCTTTTATTAGCCCAAGCTCGCCTTCATGCCCTCTGAAGAAACCATCCTCGCCCATTCTAGGAGTATGGGGTAGAACCCCTATAGTAGTTTCCATTTTCTTCACCAGTATCCCTGGTATAGGGGAAGTCCAGAATTTAAGAAATGCCCCTTTTCTCAGATGTGGCTCAGGGCTCTTCGCGTCAAGGCGCAGCGACCCGAGGTTTACCTGCCGGAGTCCTTCCACTTCCCGGAGGCCTGAGCTTTCCTGGGAAATGCTTTCAGAACAGGTCATATATATATATACATACATATATATATATATCAATTCCTTGTATAATAGAGTTGTTTCCATTTTCTTTTCCATTATCCGAATAAACCCCAATATACTATAGTAGTTTCATAAGGAGCTGCTTTGGGGGCATCATGGCCTGTCTGTCCACGTGGCAGGACTGCGACGGGGTGCAGGCACCGGTTCTTTGGCGCCTTCCGTTCTTCGCGCCTATGCTGCGGATGTGGGATTGCTGCACGCCAGCCACTAAGGCGGGCTCCAGAGATATCTAGAGTACCTGTAGTCCTGCAAAGTGCCGTGTTGCCGGGCATGGCAGGAGAACATGAAGAAGCTCCTTGCTGCCAAGACGGCATTCGGAATCATTCCCGGTGGCAGTGAGGATGTGGCCATCCATGAGCATGGCAAGGAGAATCTTGGTTTCTTCTGCTCAAGATTTTTTTAGGGCAGCAGTAGCTAAATCTCAAGCATCATGGAGCCCAACTACCTGAGCAGCAGCCCAGGAATGTTTACATAAACTCTCGGTATGGCTTCATCAAGTATGCCCTGCAGCATGGATATCGCTTGGTCATCGCGTACACCTTTGGAGAGAATGACCAGTACTACAGCCTGTCTTGCCTTCGTCCTTTGAATCTGTGGCTGGTAAAGGCGGGTGGGTGTAGCTCCGTCCTCAAGTAATGGTGCAAATGCTTTCTTGCATGGTGCTCATGAAGCAGTTTGCATAAATAGGGGGACCCCAACATAAACTACGGGGATCCCCAAAGAAGTTGCAGCACCCCTAATTTGGGAACCCCCCATGTATGGTTCCTCTGGCAGACCTTCGGCTTCGTGGTCCCGGTCTTCTGGGGGAAGAGCTTCTTCCCTCTGCTGCCTCGCGGTGGAGGCTTGAACACCGTGTATGGCAGAGCCTTGCAACTGCCGATGATCTCAGATCCCACACTGGAAGATTTGGTCCATTGGCACGGGATCTATGTCGATGCCCTTCATGCACTCTTCAATGAGTACAAGCATCAGTTTGGCTTCGGCGACCGGGAGCTGAGATGCTTCTGAGATGGCCGGCGCCGGCAGAGCCGCAGAGCGGCGGAGAGTGCAAGGGGCGCCCTCTGACCTGCCGAGCGCCGGGACCTGACGAGTTTGCGAGACGCCCGCTGCAAAAAGAGACTTGGTGCGGGGGGAAAGGTACCCCTAATTTTGGGAAACCCCTAAATAGTAGCTTCCATTTTTAATTCCCAGGCTGGTCTGGTCCTGGGACCTTGGGGATCACTGCGCCGCGGCGACAGGGTCTTCGGCCTTGCGCAGGGCAGCCTGAGGCATGTCAAACTCTCCTTTCTCCAACTTTCAACTTTGAATTCTCACCAATGTGATTATTCATACAGTTATTATTGTCATTATTGATTTTATTTGTAGTCTCATTATTGTTATTACTATTATATTACGAATATACTACTATTATCATTGCTACTACCATTATTACTATTACAACTTCTTGGAAGGCAGTACATCGAGGCCCAGGACTTTCTGGTGGCCCTGATTCCCCGGGGTCAGAGCTATGCCGGCATGGCCTCCCTGCCCACGGTAGCTCTGCACCTCGCCACAAGCAGAGGGAGTTGTGGGAGATAAGTATGGTTTCATTCATATGATTGTTGTTTTGTCTTAGTATACATACATATATATATATATATGTATATGCTATGATGAAGTAGTTACATACAAATATATATATATATAGATATATACACATATATATAATGTTTATATGGTTGTTCTTCAGGTTACTATTTTTGTTCAGCATTATTGCATATTCTCGTTGTCATCTACTGCTGCTAGTCTCCCGCCAGCCTTCAGAAGCTCCAATCCAGGACGGCCTCAGCCGCCACGGAGCTGGGTCACATCACAGCCGGAGACCTTGTAGCCATCCAGGCTGGCTCAGGCAGGCACTGCGGGGTTTGCTTGCTAGTATGGCTAGTGCCATTAGTGTGCACTATGCTTATTGTGAGGGTAAGAGTTAAAGGAGGAGTGTCCTCGTGGGTCTGGCTCCCTCTTTCGTTTCTATTGAGGTGGCACTGGAGCCCTGGCTTTGGCATTCTTGAGACGTCGCGGTGCGGCGCTGCTTGCCACAGCTGGCAGTGCCACGCACCCAGCTCTTGTGCATCTGAGGTTCGAATTAATTAAAGTAGGGCACAACTTTCATGAGGCTAAGAAGCAGTGCTTCCTTCGTCTTCGCGGTGTCTCGCGGGTGACCAGTTCCCGTTCCGGTGATGTGTGGCTTTCCTGCAGTGGTGGCGTGTGTGGGAGTCGTGGTTTCACAGTGCCTGGAGCAAGGTTTGTGCGAGATGTCCTTGACAGCCTGCCAGAGCCCTGCATGGGGGTCGACTTCCTCTTGAACTGCCTGACACACGACGACTTCATCGCACGAGGCCAGGCGTAGCCGCTTCCAAGTCTCCCCAAATTAATAGTATACCATTACTATTTTCACTAGTATAGTGTACTTTAGCTATCATTCTTTTTACTTTCAGTATGACTACTATGAGGGCAAGAGCTCAGGGAGGAGTGCAGAGCGGTCTCTCTTTGCTGCCCGAGGCTTGGCAGTGCTGGCTCCTGGAGGCCGCTTCGTGGAGCTTGGGAAGCTCCGGGCAACTTGGAAGATTTTGGAGGGTTCCCGAATTAAGATCCGATTCTTTGTACCCGCCCCCCAAAAATAGGTGCTTCAATCTAATTCAGGCCCCAAAATGGCCCATAATTTGGGAAGAACGCATTTGGAACTTTCAGCCGGGTTTCATGGGAGGGCAAGGAGAAAAACGTTTCCGCGTCGAGGTTTGGTCGGCTGCCTGCGCGCGGCGCTTCCGCGCAGACGTGGCCCACGGCACCTTGTGGCTCGGAGTTGAGAGGGAGGTTTCCCAAAATTAGGGGTACCTTTCTGGGGGTACCCTAATTTACCATGATTCCTGGGGTCCTTCTAGGGAGGAATCACTTGAGCTGGGACTAAAACCTGGGTCTCTATGGGTTATATAGAAGTGACAGAATTTCTCGGTGCGTGCAGATCATGGGAAGCGATAAGAGCAAGTGAAACGATAGCGTTGTAATTTGTGTTATTTGATGGGAAAACGATGAGAGTAAAAACGCTGACAGCGAGTTAAATTGGATAGAAGGCAGGGTTGGCTTGAGCGCCACTCACTTTTTGTAGAGATGAAGGGATGCCCTCCCTAAATCCCCTAAACTCCTAAACCCTGAGACCCTGAAAGGCTTTAAACTCCCTACCTCTTGTGAAAAACCGTGCCGGCAAAGGCTCTTGGACGCCCGCGTCGCGGGCGCTGCGCCCAGCCTCACGGCAGAGCTTCGGTCCCTTGCTGCGGCTGTTGAGGTCTCCCCTGCTGTTACCCTACTGGGATTTTCCAAGAATAATGGAAGACAAAAAAAAGACTGATATTCAGGGTTTAGGGCTTGCTTGCTTGCTTGACTTCGGTCCGAGTCTGTCGCAGACGCCTGGTACTAAAAACAGGGCGGAAACAAGAAGAGACTGTACATGTCACCCGCTGTTCTTGGCATCCAGCCAAAGACGGCAAGCGGGCGAGGTCCAACCTCGGCACAAAGCGGGCTCAGCCCCAGCTTCGAGGGAGGTGACAAAATCTGCAACTCTACAGCTCCTAAGAGGCAGCAGTGGGCCGTAGAGCCTAGTTGCAGGTAGGCCTAGGGCGGGGGGAGGGTCAGGGACACCCCAAATTCCTAAGTCATCCTCCAGCAGTAGGTGCTCTTCCTGAGCAGCCAAACACTGGGGCGAATCGTGTTGGAGGTGACGAAGTAGTCTATTTGGCTCCCAAAATTGCATCAGGCATGTTTTGCATATCGTAGTGTGTTGCGCGTACTGGGCAGCAACGCAGCGTATGCCATGCCGAGCAAATTTATGCGCTGAGAGCTGCTGCATAGACGCAAAGGACGCGGGGCAATGCTCACACTGGTGGACCCCAACGTTGGATGCGCCTTGGCCGCCATTGGTGGCATCCCATAACGGCTCATGCGCGGGGGCACGTACCAAGAGCCTCGCCTTGCGCACGAAGGTGCGGATGGCACGTGGTGCATGTAGAGCATGCTCAGCGAACCCGTCAGGGAAGTCGCACAACAGATGCTTTGAGTCCGGGCACAGCGACGCTAACCACGAGAGGTCAGCCTGCAAAACGTGCAACCAGGAGTCGGCAAGACATCTATATGCGGCACACAGGAGACCCCATAGGGTGCCTTGCGTGAGCAGAAGACGTGAGGCATGTAAGATACGTTCCGCTCTGAGGTGAGCAAGCGGAGAGGCAAAGCGGAAAGCTCTGCAAACATCGCTTTCAGCCGGTAGAGAAGGCTGCCCTGTATGCCTGTCATCTCTACCGAGGAGGCGCACCAGCCTCACATAGCCCGTGCGCCACGCATGGGATTCTTGTGTATTCAGGGGGCCCCAGGTAGCTGCTGTGCAAGAAGCAGCGGAGGAGGCTAGTGAGTTCAGAATAAGCCTCCGCTTCGCAAAGGGGAGAGTGGGGCTGCGAAGTACCTGCCTAGCAAGTGGTTTAACCTGTGCCCAGGCATAAGAACGATGCTGGGCAATATCATGCATAAACCGACCACTGTCGCAGACCCGGCCCCCCAGGTGGGTATATGCACGGACACAATGCACGTGGAAGGCCTCATCCCTAGCTTGAAAGGGCAGCAAACCAGCCTGCCGTATGAAGATTTCCTGGCGGGCCGCGGGAGCTCCAGTTCCACGAAAGGAAAAAAGGGCTTCAAATTTGCCGGGAGCATAATTGGGTGCCATAGCTCTCCGCGTGTACTCACAGTGCACGATCGACAGTGTGTGCCGGGCTGCGTCAAGTAGCTGTGGAGTGGTAGGCTGAGCGAGGAGAACCGCAGCGCCGAGCACTGGATCAGTGGCTGCAAGATCAGTAAGCTGATCTCGAACAGCCCGAAGGAAATCCGCTTGGACAAGCGAGAAAAGCAGGTCAGCCACGGAGTCACCCGGTCTTGAACCCGCGCAAGTCCAGGAGCCCCGCGTGTCTGAAAAAAGGTGCCGCACAGAAAAGTGCGAATGAGCGCTGTGCAGTGCGCCGGGGCACCGGCGAGGAGGTCAGTCTGCGACAGCCACTCACAGACCTCATGCAAAGCAGAAGGCGGAACCTGGAGCATAGCCAAAAGCTTGGCCGCATCCTCATCATTTTCCAGGGGGCCCCTGCCGAAAGCCTGCCGTATCACCCGATGGTATGCCGAGGAAACATCAAGAAAAAGGGCTGCTGCCGGAGCTTTGAGTCCTAGGGCAAGTTGCTGGCGGGCCCGAACTAAATGATGCGCCCCCGTCAACAAAGAGCCGGGAGTGCCACCCTGTTGCTGGTCAGGCGGCGGAAGCAGGGCGACAAACGTAGGACGTAACGATCGCTGAGGGGCTTTCCCGGGACCGTCCAACAGTGCAATGGCCCTATGATTGGCAAGGACTGCAGGGGAGCCTTTGCCTTTGAAGAGCGCAATGAGGGCGGTGGACTTGAATTGCGCAGGCTCAGTCAGGCGGAAATGGGAGTTGAGAAAGATGGGCAAAGGCCCGCGCAGCGGCACGGCTGTCAAGCGCCCATAGCCACTCAGGGATGCCGTTGGGGCCTGGAGCCTTGCCCTGCTTGGCGCCCCGAAAGAGGCCCTCAAGTTGCAGTAGAGTCGGCAAGAGGGCCTCCGCTGGCCGGCTGCGAATCAAAATCAACATATTCGGCCGCGCCAATGACATCGCCCGCTTCGATGGTGGCGAAATGGCGCTGCTGCCGAACTGCAAGTGGCGGCAAAGGGGGAGGCAGAGCGCTGCATAGCATCCAGTGCACGGGCTGCGTAGGCACCTTTATCGTAGCAGATGCGACTGCGGAGTTTTTTGGCGAAATCATCGAGCTCGGCAATGCACAAAGCAGTCTCAAAGAGGGACCAGCCTTCACGGGATAAGGCAGCACAGCTGTCCCCCCTCCAAGCACGAAAAAGCTCTTGAAGCCGAAGCTTCCCCGCAAGCCTGTCGAGTTGCCTGAGCGTTTGACAGCCTGCAGAAA